ATGAGCTATCACCTATGGGGACTGGTACTACTTTTATTCTTTAAAGAGCCTGTGTTCAGACAGAAGCATACTACTTAACATTATTAAGCTAATAAAAATAAATGGAATTCAAGTTGGATGAGACTACAGAGACAGAAGTGCTGCAGATATAAAGATTCCCTGGTATCACCAAACCGTGGAAAAGAAAGAGACTAATATAAAAGGCAGTCCTACCTCTCAGAATGAACACTGAACTCTGTGCCTACTTTAGGGCAAGATGGAATCAATGCAGCTGAATTTACTAGAAAGGATTCCTCCCAACTAATAATGTAAAGGCAGAATATCTTGCTCTGAGGGAAACTATAGAATAAAAAAAAATTAAAGAAGCAGTAGAAGACAGGTGGTTCTAAAAAAGAAATAAAACCAACACAAAACTGCCAAAAAAAAGCCAGGACTGCTTTCCTGCAGTGAAACTCACTGCACCATGAAAGAAAACGATGTCAGGTACCACTAAAATTCTTCATTTTTTGGTTTTTTTTTTTTTTAGTACTCCATCACCAAAAAGTCCTTCCGTTCCTTTCTACTCCCTTCCTTACAAATAATGTCAATAAATAAAAGATGCTGTCTCCTAGAAAAGAAATGTTTTTGTGACATATGAACACTTTGGTTTGTTTTCTTTCTCCCCCAGAGGTACACTCCAGGTAAAGTTTCTCTGGAGACTGACAGTAATCCCCAGAAGAACTTCTAGAACTTCAGTTTTGAAAGCGAAGTTGGACGTGGCAAAATTCATCACAGTACACCGAAACAAATTCAAACTGCTACCTGTCATACTTCAGACTCCACAGAAGTCAAAGGTGCTTCTAGAAGACCACACTGAAGTATTGATTCTCAATTGTTCTTTTCCGAACTAGGAAAACATGACTCATACATAGGAGTCAATCCTGTATCTAACAGCGTCCAACACATAATTCAGATGATACAACAAAGGAAATCTTAATTAAATCTACCACTTACACAAAAGCTAGATAAAGCATAGCACGGTAAAGCACAGGATTACAATTCAAAGTTATCTGCACAAAATGAAAGAAAAAAAACAAGCAAACCCAAAACACCCCAAAATACTTTAAACAGGGAGCGCTTCATTAAGGAGAAGTGCAAAGCAATACAGCTAGTAGGAATAATCAACTGCAAAAATTGAAGACAGGGATCAAGAGAGTGTATTGCAGTTTTGCAGAAAACAAGAAAAATAATAGACCACAGAATGCAGATATTGTCAGTGTTAGAATGTAAAAAAAAACAATACTGAGTTGTAAAACAAGGAGCAAAATATTGAAGGCACAGGGAATGCTAACTTTTTTCTTACCTACAAGATGAGAAAGTTAGATCAATTGGACTGCAAAGGAAATAATAGGTCATTTGGAAGATTTATTTGTTTACTTTGATTACCAGCATATTTGTTTTTAACTCAGTCTAGAGAGTAAGGTATGACATACATATGCCAGATACGTAAGAAGTTTTTACTAACTGTAGGAAAATGCTTGTATACGTATTTATGGTAGATGTGTAAGTACTGAGCTTCAGAACTCAGGAACATAGATTTAATTTACAGGAAAAAAAAAAAAAAAAAACAGAAAAAAATCTAACCATAAATAAACACTGCCATGTATGTACAAGACCTGCTGTCAGAAATTTAAGAGTATATTAAGAAAAGGCAGTGGCTGCCCAACTTTTTCAGCCACAGGATCAACGCCAATTAGACCCCAGACTCTGCAGATAATTACTGAAACTGAAGAGGGCAGGATGTCTTGCTTGCATACCATTGAACACAGTGAACAACAGATGCTTTTTTTTTTTTTTTTTTTTTTTTTACAGTAATCAAAAACATTAAAAAAAAAAAAAAAAAAATCAAGCAAAGAACTTGATTCACTACTAGAGCATCAGTTTGTCACTGACACTAGTTGTCAAATAGGAGTATTCACAGGTCATATGTATACCTGAGAATGAAGAAGTTATTTCCACCTGCAGGTCACTGCCCTAAGCAATGAGTGCAACAGCTACCAGACTTCATGGTTTTAGTTCCCTGTGTAGTAAGAGGAAGCAATAGATACTTCAAGCCTCAGAAAAAAATCACATTAAAATATTTCCCAATTGAAAGGCAGAAAATTCCTTTTGTTATTTCCATTTTATTAATTCTATTCACCTTTATTCTTTCTGTAAGCTTACTGAGCTTACAGTCTTCAAGTCTAATTCAAATGTGAAGGTATGGAAATGGATAGGCAAACACTATCACTGAAGTACATCATCAGAAAAAAGATTAAGGAAAGCGGCTAGGACAACAGCTTAGGAGCATCTATGTTTACACAGCACTGTATGTCATCCAGTCTGCACGTGGAAAGGAAGAAGAGATCTGCACTTTAAAAGGATCTAGATAGAGGTTTCTACCAGCTCCACCCTGGAATAAGAAAGAAGTGGGCTTAGTCTGTCAATGAGATATGTTCCTGCATCTCCTCAACAATACCCCCTGCAGTCATAGGGACTCAAATACCACATGCTTCCATATAGTTGTGGAGAGAACAAGTAAAGATGAACAAACAGAAAATACAAAGTGTACAGAATATACACTATGCAATAAAAAAGTACCTAATCCTATATTAGAAGCAACTGAAAATACTAGAGCTCTCAGCACATAGAAATGCTTTTGAAGGGCAAATGACTGAACTTGATGAAATACTTTGTGCTGAAAGAGAATAATCACTCTCAGAATAGTTAGAGGAGAAAGAAGTACCAAGTAAACACCAGTCTATTTTGTTTTCGTCCACTTCTCTGCTCCACTGAATTCAACAGCATTTCTTGAGAAAAGTGCAATTCCAAACCAATGTGGTGTTGGTGTCCAAACCAATTTTTGTTTGTCTAAGCTATCAGTGACCTGAAGAACCCAAAAATGCATATTAGACAACATGCATGCCCGCATCCTTTTTCTACTCAACCTATGGCAGTCCAAGTTTACACTGAACAGAAAATTGCATCTCCACAGAAATAAGAGAAATAGCTTTTAGATTTAATATCTAGAGTCACCTTAGCAAAACAGAGCTTAACCAAAACCATCCCCAAGTTACTGTGAATTAGGCATCACTTGAAATTAAGACATTGTAAGTATTGTTAGAATTATTATAATTCCTCAAACCTGACACCAGTAACAGTTCCAATCAACTTTTTCTACAGCATATTTTACACTTTCTTTCTGCACTGCATAGTTTATCTCACTAAAACTTTACTTTTTTAGTGCAAGACGACATTTTGGTGTTTTATTGCTAAGAAGCACCTTTCTTTCAAACAGAGAAGACACTTACAAATGAAAGGGCCTCTGTACCAAATAAAGAAAGGTAGTGGAACACAAGTAGATTCCTTTTTCCTCCTCATGTCAAATAAACAGTACATTCAGTTCCATAATCTGGGTTGGGCTGCCTTCCCTCCCCTCTCTTTGTACAGACTTAGGTGAAAAGCTTTTTAGACGTATTTCCCAAGTACGACTTTCAAGCTGGAATAGAGCCAATTAAAACAGGAAACTATTTGTAATATTTCTTCAGGTGTTCCAGAAACTCCAGCCTCCACCATAACTTTTTCCTGCAGTCTGATAGAACTAGACTTCATCATGAAGAGAGGCAAGAAAACAAACAACTAGTTGATGAACTTGAATTCCAACCAGCTACTCAGAAGCACTGTGTAACTATTTCCTTTCTGTCTGAAATGGTGGCATGTGACCCATGAAAAAATGACAAGAGTAATGAGAAAAAAAATTGCAGCAAAAGATAAAGGGAAACTCGAAACTGACTAAAAGCATTCCAAGTTATTCAAAGAAATTCTCATTAAAGGATGAGGAACAGACACCACTGTTTGAGAAAGCCCAAATCAGCATTCTGTTCCTCCACTTCACTTACTTTCCAACAATTTTTGAGAAAGACTACTCATTAACGTACATTATCTAGTGATACAGACACAGAAAAGTGGCTAGGCAAAAAAGAAACCAAACACTTCATAGAAACATAGAATAACCTGGGTTGAAAAGGACCACCATGATCATCTAGTTTCAACCCCCTGCTATGTGCAGGGTCACCAGCCACCAGACCAGGCTGCCCAGAGCCACATCCAGCCTGGCCTTGAATGCCTCCAGGGATGGGGCATCCACAACCTCCTTGGGCAACCTGTTCCAGTGTGTCACCGCCCTTGTGTGAAGAATTTCCTCCTAATATCTAACCTAAACCTCCCCTGTTTCAATTTAAAACCATTCCCCCTTGTCCTATCACTATCCACCTGTTCCAGTGTGTCACCACCCTCTGAGTGAAACTTCCTCTTAACCGTTACACAAACAGAACAATGATGATGAAATGATGCTATAAATATTGATTTTTTGAAAATAAAACATTTGAATTTAAATAACATATCCATTTTACTACAGCAATACAAGACACGGATCTGGCTAAATCTCAGAATTTAGAGAGAATACTAAACTAATACTTGTTACACTGCACGCCTATTTCTATTCACTAGCTTTGAACCAAATCCATAATTTTTTTTTTTTTTTTAAACTTCACATAAAAGCTGTGGCTTAAAGCTAAAAATTCTAAAAAGGACAATAACTTCTGCCCAGAGTTTTCTCTCACTTTTCAAGCTCATACTGAGATTTTCTTTCAGCTTTATTCTGAACAAAACAGAAAACGCAAGTTCATTAGCTCAGTTTTCGTTTTTCCTTTTTTTTTTTTTTAAACATAATTTTATGTCAGAGGTCTAAGAACTGCTTTGACAAGAGGAGAGAACATCAAAACTAACAGAAATCTCTATTTAATTATTTGTACCACGTGAATATTAAAGAAGCGATTAACTGAGAGAACAGAAGAGAGGACAACTCAGGAAAAATGATCCACAAGTTTACTACAGAATCACCGATGACACAACTACATTACTGGATGTATTAGGAATTCAGTTCACTGCCTCTACATATTTTCCCCACTTTTTCTACTTACCTAGACCTTTTTGTCCAGGATTTTTTGCAAAGTTAAAAGTAAACTGATAAAAATCTTTGAACTTTGTTGGATCCTTCAGTTCTTGTTCCAGTCGTGGCAATAGAGCTTTTAGTTTTTCTGTGGAGTCACACCTGTTGCAAAAGAGTTTATATTATTTTACTGCTGGTTATTTTAAGGATTAGTTCAAAACAAAACAACAGTTACCTTAAAAAGAGGAGGTCTTTTTGGAAAGCCTTTTTAAAAATATGAACAATTATACACCTTTACTAAACAAATTGAGATGGAACATGATACTTCATAAGCACACAACCAAAGCAGGATTGCTTTTGCAGTCTCTTCATGAGTTTATGAATTCAACAATAGATGTTATTCTGTTCTTAAAGCTGACCATATAAACCTCACTGGAACAGACTCTCCAGGGCAGTGGTCACAGACCCAAGCTGCCAAGTTCAAGGAGCATCTGGGCAATGATATAATCAGGTCTGATTTTTGGGTGGTTTCATGCAGAGTCAGGAGTTGGACTCAATGATCCTCACAGGTCCCTTCCAATTTGGGATATTCCATGATTCTACAAGACCTCTATTCCTTGCTGTACTATAAGAATCATTCTACTTCTGCCTTCCCAAGCCCATCATTAAGGTTGTGCAGTAATGTGCCGCTGTAAGGATGACAGGACACTACAGGTCTTTAGCAGCTATTAAGCTCAGCACAGTTACAACCAGCTTTTCAAATGTTCTAGTGAGAAACTGAGCTCAGGCCTTGTATTCTGAACTACACAGACATGGATACTTACCCCAGCTCTGTCATGCCATCTACAAATTCCTTTTTACTGAATTCACACTGAGTAGCCGCCCTGAATTTCCACGCTATGACCAGAACACTGATACTGGCAGGATCCAGGCTTAAATCGTCACAGAACTGTTGTATTCCATCAATGCCAATTTTATTTTCATCTTGTGGGTCTGCAGTTGAAAATACAAAAAGGATCACTATAATTATTCAGAACAATAGCTACCAATAGTCATAATCAGCACATCTGATACGCTGCAAAATTCAAGTTTTTGGTTCTACTTAAGCTTCACAAATGTCTTCACTTGAAATCTAGTTCTAAGTACCTTGAAGAATAACAGTAGGTGAATTAAGTTTTCTGCTTAGCTTCCCCAAGAACTGGCTTGTGATTATTTTCTACATTCCCCAGGTAACATTAACAAAACAGATATCTTCTCTCCATCATGCTCTGTGCAATATATGAATTAACAGAAAGAAATAAGCCTGACTGAATCTACAACACAGTAAAGCTGGTAAATTCATCACAAGGCAATGTATTGACTGGTTAGCACATTGTAAAGTTATTAACCAGCCAAACAAAAACCTACCCAGTAAGCCCACAGAATTTTTCCTCATAGCGACAGATGAAAACACACCACAACTGTTGACTGAAGCATTTTTGGTTTTCATGTGTTAGGAAGGTTACCGCACCATGGCTCAAACAATGCTTCAGCATAACAGGGCCTCAAGCTAAACCTGATGTAGTTCTAAGAGAGGTAAAATGCCATTCTTACATATTTTGAGAGTAACTGAAGATCTGAAAGCAGAATGCACGTGTGCTGAAATCAAGGAATCAAACCCTTAATTGTATTCTTTCCAATCTTTAGAAAGTTTTAAGGCTATAATTTTAGTGTGATCTGTGCTAGAATTGCAGAGGTGTGCTGCTAGCCAGACAGATAACTGGCTGAGCTTTCTTTCACAGACACAAGTGGGACAGTTTGCCATTGCTAGAATACTGCTAATAAATAATATTTGTAGGTTTTTTGACCAAATTTCTATATTCTTTACGGCATTTGTGAGCTGGCATGTATATTTTTTATCAAACAATCCCCAAGATCAATATTCAAAGACCAAAACACAAGTATATACAGATACATTACAACAGTAAAATATATATCTCTAAGACACAGAACAGAGTGGTTAACTAGTTAGACTTTTTCCACATACACAGAGCAAACTCTACAGTTTCTCTGATTCTTTGTCTCTCCATTATCACCTTATAATGAAGTATTGAAGAACATCTATGCTCAAAGTAGAACGTATGATTTCAATAGTAGAAAGAGTGGAAATAGTATGATAAGAAGATAAAGTGTATACAAAACATAACTTACACTACAATTAGGAAAAGTACATAAAATCATAGTTGATTAATTGTTAATTTTTAGAACACAAAGTTTATGGATATCAGCAGCAGCTTGTAATGATGCTTCCTGCATGCTCTGCACTAAAACGTAAAGAACAACGCATGCATTCATATCAGATGGCCACATTCCCAAAAGCATCATTACCTGGATCACATATGTTCTTATGCTACTATCTCTTCCTTTTATTTTTTCTGTTCTTTTCAAGAAATGAAGTTTAAAAAAAAAAAACAAAAAAAAAAACTGTCAAAGAAACAACTTTGCCTTTATCCCACTTCCCTGTTTTCCTACCAAGCCGATCCAAACAGACGCATCATTTTTGCGGGAAGAGGCAAGTGCAAAGAGTAAAACAAGGATGGAGCTTCAAGACTAATTTTCTGAGGGTTTTTATTTCACTGTTCAGACAGATTTCTAGCTGTAATGTTACCTGAAATGCTTTTTGATTTCAAAGCAAAGAAATACTAGTATATCTGAACTAAACTCCTCCAAATATTAGTACAGGATCACGTGTGTTCTTTTGCCGCACAAAGTACATCATCCACGTATCCTATAGCAGCCAGCAGCAGTAAATCAACTAAGTTCCATAATAAGCTCTACTCCCCTTTCCACATATGCAGCTGACAAGATTTCCACACAGGAGGTTTTAAATGCTCTTAGTGTTCAATACACAACTTTGGCACACACTCCTGTAGAGTTCAAAATAAATTCCTACTGGAAAAAAATCACACTTTTCTCATTCTTATCTCAGTGCTGCATACACAAAATGAATAGCAGAAGTTCACAGTCTTTCCTTAGAGCTCCTTCAGAGTGGCAGAGGGATGAGCCAGAGTGATACCACCCAAATGACATAATTACAACAACAAAACCCACAACAAGAAAAGAAAAACAAGCCTTACCTTTGTATCGATTATACAGTTGTTCTAATTTCTTCCTGTCTACTGAATTCTTCATGGATTCTTTGTAGTACAAATCTGGATTCTGGAAGTAGTTGTCTGTTGCCACTTCTAGCTTCCATTCATTCTGCATCAAGCAGTATATAGCAGTCCTTTCCCCAGCCTGAGTAAACGCCATAAACTGGCGGACCTTGTCCTTCTGAGATGATTTAAGCTTATGCTTTGGGATGCAAAAGAAGCAGGAAAGTCAATGAAGCTAATCCAGAAGTTTGTTTCAGCATTCTACTACTAATGTCTATATTTAAAAGGTTTTAGTTTTCTTGCTGAACCTTCACTTCAGAATTACAGGAAGACAAAAGCCTTGCTCTCCTGCAGTTAAAAAGACAGCATTTTCTTCTGCAAATACGAATGACAGCATCTATACATACATTTTTAACAGCAAAAATTCTGGCAGTAATCAATTTGTATTCCTGCTTTACTGCTCACATATGCAAGAGCGTTTTTCTGTTCTGTAACATGAGCAGACACAAGTTTCATCATATAACAATATGGCTATCTTCTGAAAATACATCCATTGCTTATAAACACAAGGAACCACAGAGGCCCAATGCACAGAAGCTCAGGTTCTGTACAAGTCCTTTGTAAACTGAAGAAAACAGAGATCTGCCTAGTGGTTTTCCTGACATTTTCCTAGCACTAATGGAAAGTTTCATTCTTTTAAATGATCACTTGAGAAGACAGAAGTATTCCTCCCATTTTTACATAACTTCTGCCAACAGAAGACAGAAGGCCAAGTGAAAATAAAGCATGTGCTAGAGACGCGTTGAATGCTATAATGAAACTAAAAAGTTCTCAAAAACATGACCTAAAACTTCAATGCACTCTGAAAAGAAAAAAAAGAAAAAAAAAAAAAAAGGTATTTATGCTATTAATACATAAATCAAAAGAGCAGCCCACTAATAGTGGTACACAGGAGCCCATAAGGAGTTTCTCTTAGCTCATGGCAGCAGCCATATCTACACCACATCCCTACGTTTCTGGAGAACCCAAGAGGTAGGAGCAGGGATTTTATGGGGAGAAAGTCTGCTAGTACTACGGGTCAACATGGAAGGTGGAGAAGGTAACTTAAATCCCTGTGTTCCAGCACTTCCTCATTCTGTTAAACTGCACACAGTCAGGTGCAACAAGGAAGTAACCTGAGAAAGCTGTCTGCAGTTGTTCTGCTGCTGAGGCAGATACAGCAGAATACTGCATGAGGGGATAAAATAGAAAGATCAATGTCCCAGCCCCATAAGTATCAGAGGAAGAGCACAGTACCAGAGGCTGGGGCAGCTCTCAGCACCCTTCTTATCTCTCCTACACACATGGACGGGACATCTCCACTGCAGGTGGACCCAACACAAGAAATGTGTCACGTGAACAAGGTACGAGCTTCAGTCCTTCTTAACACTTCTCAATTTTATATAAGCAGAAAGATGGAAAGCAGCTTTTCGGGAAAGTAAAAAAAAAAAAAAAAAAAAAACAACAACCCTACTAGGGAAAATAACTACAACGTGTTTAGAGAAGAAAATCTCAACAGCCTTTTGCTCGGCTACTATCGGCTCCTTCAGCAAGCTTTCAGCTCTCGCTAATGGTTAAGGTACCCCCGGACCGAACCCCTCCTCGTGCACACCAGGTGCCGCGAGGGCAATGCCGACAGAGCCCCGCGACAAGGGGCCGAAGCGCACGCAGCGGGGTCACTCGAGGAGAACACGCGGCCGCCCGCTCGCTGCTCTCGCTGCCCTGGGAGTTCCCGACGGCGTGAGACGGAGGGCTCACGCGTTCTCTACGAGGCCGGGGGGGCGTTTCTGGAGGTCGCGCCCCCGAAGAGCAGCCCCATCGCGGAACGCAGCGGCGGAGGCCGTGGGGCAGCACCGCAGTTCCCGCAGCCCCAGGCGGCCCGGCCCCGGGGACGCGGCGGAGGGACTCTGCGGCGTCGGGCGGCGCAGCCCAAAAAAGGGAAAGGTACGCGGCGCCGTGCTGCGGCCCCGAGCGCCCGCCCCGGGTGACCTTCCCGCCGCCCCCGCGCGCAGCGGCCGTTCCTGATTGCTGCTCGCCCCCCGCCGCCCCGTCCTCGGGTCGCCCGGGCATGGCGCAGCACCCGGCAGCCCGGACGGGCACGGGGAAAGGGGCGGAGAAACATCCGCAGGGCGCGAGGAGCCAGGAGGGGAGCGGAGCGCGCCGCGCCCGCCGCTGTCCGCCGCCCGCTTCCCTCACGCCTGCCACCTACCATTTTACCACCGGCGCTTTAACCAACTTCACCGCCCGGCGCCGCCGCCGCCGCCACTGCCGCTACCACCAGCACCTCCCGCGCAGGCGCGCAGCGGCCCGGCCGGCGCCGCCTATCAGCGGCCGCGCTGCGGGGAGAGGAACGCGGAGCTCGGGGCTGCGCGCCCGCGGCCCTGCCGGCAGCGGTACGGCCGGAACGGGGACTACAACTCCAGTCGTGCACCGCGCCCGGAGCTCCCGGCACGGGGAGGGAACGGCTCCGTCCTGCAGCTCTCGGCACGTCCGGACTACGCTTCCCGTGCGGCCTTGCGCTTAAAGGCGCCGCGCCGGCGCTCAGTCCCCGGCGCAGGGCGAAGGGGCGGCCGCTGCGGGCCGGGCGAGGCTGTTGGCGCTGCCCTCTCGCTCCATGCTGCGGTCACGTCCCGGCCGCTGCCGGCCCCGCTCCGTCCCTCCCTGCCGCAGGTGAGTGTGGTGGGGGTGGACGGGCGGGCAGTGGCCTCTTTCCCTTCGTGGCCGCCTCCCCCGTACCGCGGGGCGCAGGGAGGGGGTTCGCGGCTCCTCCTCGCCGCTCCCTTTTCCCCCTGCGCGTCCCTGAGCCGCTCTCAGGTGGGTGCGAGAAAGGGCTGGGCCCGGGGGTTGGGTGTTACCGCCGTGTGTCTGCGGGCGGGAAACGGACCGCCTCGGGACGGCTGCGAAGGTTCGTTCTTCTGCGTGGATGTCACGACCCCAGGGCGGTGGGCACGGCCCTGAGCGCTGCAGTTCGAGGAGCATCTTTCACGCTTTCAAACACACGGTTTGGGTGTGGGGAGGTGCTGTGTGGAGTTGGCTTGTTTTTAAATATTGTGGGCTGTTTGACTGTAACATCAGTGGTCTTTCTCTTGTGGGTGCTGAGAGGTGGAAATGGATTCTTGAATTTTATCCTGCTTGGATAAACTGTGTAGTTTAAATATGGACTTTAAAGAACTTCCTGGGAGATAATCTTGTGAATGATGCTGTTGTCACTTCAAGTGTTCTTGTAAGTCTATTTTTAAATCCTGAGGACCAATTAGTGTTGAAATAATGCCTCCAGACCATTCAGCCTTGAGGTCTGTGATCTAAACTGGCAGTGTGCAGAAGTCCAGGAAGCCCTGCTCATGTTTTTTTCATAGACTCCTAGAATCATTTGAGTTGGAAAGGACCCTTAAAGGCCATCTTGTCCAACTTCCTTGCCATGAACAGGGACACCTACAGCTGAATCACAGTGCTCAGAGCTCCATCCAGCCTGACCTTGAGTGTCTCCAGGGAGCATCCACCACCTCTCAGGGCAAACAGTGCCTCACCACCCTTATTATCAAAAACTTCTTCCTTATATCCAATCTAATCTCCCCTCTTTTAGTTTGAAGCCATTTCCCGATGTCCTTTTTTCTTGTAGAAACATTTCTTTCTCATGCATAATGTATAACTTAATCTCTGCCAGTTAAGATTTGTTTTGTTATGTTTCATGTAATTGAATGTGTTGATGCTTCTAAGACTGCATAAGCAACAATTGGATGTGATACAAATTTTTAAGATAAGAACTATGAGAGGTTTACTGATGTAAAGGAAGAATGTGTTCTGGTGCTGGGTTGAAGTACAACAACCAATGGCATCACAGCATAGTATTTTTAATGACTTTTCTTTAAGAAGAAGCACAAATTAATACCATGTAAAATGAGTAAGCATTCTGTACAGTGTTTTTAAAACAAGATAATCTCTAGAAAATAGGCAAGGAGGGAACAAAATCTTATCAGTGACCTTGGGCTTTTTCTAATTTTGCTAACATTGACTGAAGGAGGCAATCTATGTTATATAAAAGATTGCAGTGTAAAATGAAGTCTTTGGTTTGCTTTGTAATTTGTTTATCCAGCACCCCAACATGACCATGTTTGGTTGGTACTGTCTTGCAGCACGTTGTGTGTCCTGGAGATGCAGAAACCATGTAGCAGAAAGCTCTGAGCAGTTGTGGATTATCAGTTCCTCCCTCAGCAGTAAAAACTGAAGAATGAAGGTGCCTGGATTTATTTCCCTATGGACGTTGACATCACTGCTTTGTAGCCAGTTAGGAAATACTGCAGAGCACGAAGATGTAGTAAAGCACGCAATCAAGCTGCACCGTGGGAAAGGAGCTGTTATTACTCAGCGAAAGCAGTGGGTGATGGAGAGCTGCAGAAAACTATCTGGTCTCCTTCGCCAGAAGAATGTTGTGCTCAACAAATTAAAGAACGCTATAAGAGCGGTTGAGAAAGATGCTGGGCTGTCAGATGAAGAGAAACTTTTTCAGGTGCATACCTTTGAAATTTTCCAAAAGGAACTCAACGAAAGTGAAAACTCAGTCTTTCAGGCAATCCACGGCCTTCAGAGAGCTCTACAGGGCGATTACAAAGACGTTGTAAATATGAAAGAGAGCAGTAGGCAGAGACTAGAAGCCTTGAGAGAAGCTGCAATTAAGGTTAGTTGCTCTCCACCCCCTCTGTGGCTATTACTAGAATAGTAATATTTTAATTTCATTATGATGCTTTTTCACTCTGTTCTATACAAATAAGTAGATCTCCATGAAACTGAAGATTTACATTTTAAAATAGTTTTTGAATGAAATTGGTTGTGTTTGTTTTCATTAGCAAAATTAGAATTCTGGAATAGATCTGAAAGCTTAGTAGCAGGCAATAGTTATTTCAAAACAAAGCTGAGCATAATTGCAAGACCCACATCAAACGCTGTGTTGAAAGAAGACGAGGTGAGTCTGCGCACAGCAGAGCTGTATAAATCACTTGGATTATCAGAATGGAAATAAGGCAACAAATTCACCAAATACTAAATGTTTTTTTCCACTTGAAATGAGAATTGCTCATCCCAAACCCATCATTCTGGCAGAACAACTCCTTTGTTTTCTGTACTCACATGGATGTTAGTGAAATGGAGGTGTGAAATATTGGTGTCTGTTTGGTTTTTTTTTTGTCTTGGTGTAGTATTCCTAGCCTAGGAAATGCAGGTTTGGAAAATAACACCTCCGAGGAAGAGATGATTGAGGGAACTTTACTGAGAAAAGCAGGGGTGTGTAACCAGAGAGCTCAAGTACTTAATGGAAAGTTTGGGTTTTCAGGTCAATCCAGACCTGTTAGGGCTTGCACAGTCTGGCACCCAATCTGGTAGCGCTCAGAGCACATACTGAAAGTCTGCCATTGAGGGGAAATGTTGCTTAGCTGACTTGGCATTGGAATTACTTGTTTCCTAGCCTCTGCCCCTCAACCACTGAAGAAAAATGCTAGGAATTTTCTTTGCATTTTTTTTTTTTCTTAATTTAAAGAAAGGGCTGTTCTTGTGAAAGGGGGCAAAAGGAAAAAGCATAGTTAAGCTACAGAGGGCAGAGAGGAGAACCTAGGCAGGGCAGCTGTCTGAGACACATGCAGGCCAGGTGAGGAGTGGCAAGGCACTGTTCTGTACAAGGGAGTGCAGTGAACAGTGAGAGGAAAGGCTGTTGGGAGTAGAAGTTAGGATGCAGACTGAGGAAACGGGAGCAGTCTGTGCAAACAAAGACTGGATTATGATGAATTTGGTAATGAGGAGCTTGGATCCGTGTATGTTCCAGTGACTCAGGATGACTTTGATATTGGCAGTTAATGGCAGTGCCAGCTTCTGCTGCATAGAAACAGCAGACATCGCTACATTCTTTTACTTTTACTTTTTTTTTCTTCTGACAGTTCTTCACATAGCAGCAGTGAAGCTGTCTGTAACCTTTTGTCTCATTTACCTAATTCTTGGCAGCAATATGATTGTAAAACAAACAGAGGGAGATCTGTAGTAGAGCTTGAATGTTCCTTCTTTTCTTTCATAAAAGGAGGCTTCTGTGTGTAGTGCTGTTTTAGAGGGGCGTCCTGTAAGAGCTTAACTTTTGCAGAAGTGGGTTGTGTAGTCTTTTTCGGTATGTCATGAGATTTATCCAATCAAGCAATCTTTTATACCACTCTTTATGTCACTTACATGATTGTTTCAGCAGTATTTGTTTCTCTAACCTTGTAATTTATGTTATGGTATGAAATAAAGGAGGAGACGATGGGTAAGCACATGCCAGATGAAAATGACATACATGGAATAAATTTTTGTGTTCAAAAGATGTTCACACATCAGGTCCAATTTTCTTCCACTATATTTTTGTTGTCATTGTATTTTGCTGAGCTACTCAGAAGATATTTTTCCAAAGAGTAGTTGAATGGAAAATACTAATGACTGTAGAGGATACAGGATCACTCATTCACTTTATTTCTGCCAAGTATTTGAAAATTGTTAGTATCAGAATATGTTTGTGATGCTTTTCATGCTGGTTCTGTTTCTGGGAAAGAGCATGACACAGTCATTCACAGCAGGGAAGTGTTGAATCATAGGATCATAGAATGGCCTGGGTTGAAAAGGACCACAATGATCATCTGGTTTCAACCCCCTGCTATGTGCAGGGTCGCCAACCACCAGAGCAGGCTGCCCAGAGCCACATCCAGCCTGGCCTTGAATGCCTCCAGGGATGGGGCATCCACAGCCTCCTTGGGCAACCTGTTCCAGTGTGTCACCACCCTCTGTGTGAAGAACTTCCTCCTAATATCTAATCTAAACCTCCCCTGTTTCAGTTTAAAGCCGTTCTCCCTTGTTGTATCACTATCCACCCTTGTGAACAGCTGTTCCCCTTCTGTTTATATGCTCTGCCTAAATTTGCTCAAGGAACTGTGGCAGAGTTCTGGAAGAAGCAGCAAAATCTTACCTACTTTCTATCTGCTTCAAATTTCTTGGGCGTCCAGTACTTGTTCATCAATGGAAAAGATGAGCATTGCATAGATACATCCTCCTCTGAGTTTACTTTTTTCATCTGTCACTGAACAAACAGCAGAGAGCAGCAATGCTACTTTCTTAACTAGCGTTGCCTTCCCTTTGCACATATTGCTGGGCATTCCCATCTCGTGCTTAGTACAGAATCCTTGCATGTATTACCTTGCTTGAAAGGCTGTTTAGCATATACTTTGTGATCAAACGTCTCCAATGCCAGCATGAAGGGCGGAACAGTGTTTGCACTGTGGTGCTCCTTTGCATAACGTGTAGCAAGGTGTTTGAGAAAACACTTCCTTCTCATCAACACTATTCTCTGTTACTGTTCCACTCAACAGCTACAGCAGTGGTCAGTGGGTACAACCAGATACTACTTCCATCAGCAACAAATACTTCTTTTTCATTAAAGGAACTTACAATTAAAACCGGATTGTTTCCACAGCTCTTCTACCTCGCTTTTCAGAGAGAGAAAAAACCTGCTTTTTTTTCAAGGGCAGAAACTCTAACCCTTGTTAACTCCATCTTGAATTCTAGGTTGTTGATTGAGGAGAAGAGTCCACTTCTCATACTGGCTGGGGATTTTACATCTTTTAAATGATGTCTGCTAACAGGGAACAACAGAGAGACCATATCTTTCCCTGAGGCTTACAAGAGTGACTGACTCTCACTTACCTGCCGCATGAATAAGCTGTTGCTATTGGTCCAAACACCTTAGTAGTTACATTTTTTCCTAGCTAGAGTTATTTTAGGAACTGGGGGCCTTTCATCATTCCAGTGTAACTATGCTAATTACAAACGCCGGTATACAAGAACCACAATTCTGTGGTTTCAACACAACCTGGAGCATTCATCTCACTGACAAGATTTTCTAAAAGGGCCAAACACAGTTATAGGCTGCTCTGAACGTAGTGTTGTCTTGGCATCAAGGAATTGTTTGAATTGTATGCATGTCCTTGCAGGTGTCAAGTGGAAAAAGGTCCATCTACAAAAGTGCCTGGAGAAGGGAATGCTTCATTTATTCTGGCAGAGGTGTTTAGGACCATTGCAGATGCCGATGTGGGGAAGGCAGATAAAATCAAAGGGAGAGCTATTTCGATCTGATCTCTAGCTGGGTATGGCAGTATATCAAAAATAGAGATTGAAACTTTTGTGTTCAAACAACTGAGTCTGACCTAGGAATTACTTGTGTTCCTTACCCTGTTCTCTCTGTTAAGACTGGTACGATAAAAACAGTGTTCAGACACTGATACAATGTTTGTGTTGCTTCTGCAGTGCTACTGGTAAATGTTTTATGTTAAAAGAAGCATGTGTTTATATCAAAGTTTTGCTGCATAAAAGCCTGTCCAGCACTTTATCTGTGTTCTGAAATTCAACAGGAAGAAATGGAATACGTTGAACTCTTAGCAGCAGAAAAGCATCAGGTTGAAGCCCTTAAGAACATGCAGCATCAAAACAAAAGCCTGTCAATGCTCGATGAAATTCTTGAAGATGTCAGGAAGGCAGCTGACAGACTAGAGGAAGAAATTGAAGAACACGCCTTCGATGACAACAAATCTGTAAGTAAGGTTTTGGACTGTCTTTTCATTCATGTGTATTTGTATTTATGTTGATATTTGCACAGTAGGTGTATTTGTCTTGTATTGGCTAGTTATTAGGATTTTAGTCACTGCTTTGAAAAATCAAACAGGAAAAAACAACACCTTTTGGCTCTACGTTTGTTTTCTCTTCCCTTTTAAGAAAAGAAAGCGTTTACTAGTAGAATAATTGCTTGTTAAGAATGAGCAAACAGGAATCATTATTCTTTTTGTTGTAGATTTCTCTGCTTTGATTTGGAAGTACTCCCTGTAGCAACCACTTACAGTGACAAGTGTATTCCTTCTCACTGAGACAGCTCATGGGAGTTATGACCCATTACACTCTGGGATGGTGGTAGGGACTGTGATATTTAGACTTCACAGGATATGGAGTTACTGTGTTAAGTATAGTCTCCATTTTTATTTTTTTTCTTTGTTGAGAAAGTTATAGGTGAACAAGAATCCTTGCAGTTAGTTTTCACAACCTGCATAAACATGTATTGTTCAAGGTAAGGACTTGTGACCTTCTCTGCTTTTAGCACCGTTTGTGTTGTTCTTGTTTTCTGTGTTGCACGACGGACAGTGTCCCTCAGGAAAGGCTGTGTGTAGTTTGATCTGGGAGTACATCAGTTTATTCCAGTGTCCCACTGTGTTTTTCTCAGAGACAGCCCCTCAGTTGGTCCTTTTCATACATTCATGGGTTGCAGTTTTATTTGGCTTCTTCATTTTGAAGATTTTGTTGATTTGCAGGTTGTCTTATAAGGCAGATGTAGCTCATGAATTCCGCTGAGGAGGAAAAACTATTGCTCCAAAGGAGAGAGTCAGGCGGGCTTGGTGACTGTATGCTCTTGAAGGAAATGGAAAGTAGCTTTTTGTCTACACCAGACCCATGCAATTATACCTCCACATAATCCTACCTAGCAGGACCGAAAGAGTGTAGAGAAGAGCTTGCTCGAGTGCCCTCTTCTGTTACACTGGGATATAACAGCCGATTTTAGTGATAGGAGTACTATTTCATCTGCAATAGCTGGTCACTGAAGGGAAAAAAACCAACGTATTCTTCTTGTCCAGTGTCTCTTCTATTTTTTGTCTTATATCTCTAGTCATGAAATAAAGAAAAGAAATAACGAAATTCAAACTAGAAGACTATTTACATCTCTGTCTTTGTAAGGACTGTCGAGCATGTTTTCTCTCAAGCTAAAAGACAAGTGAAAAAAGCCCTAATAGAATCATCAGCACTCTGTTAGGATGTAAAGGCTTTTATTAAAGACATATTAAAATAGAGATGTATAATAGATAAAAGTGAGGAAAAAAAAGAATATGAGCTAACCTATGTCAAAGAATACAACAATATTTGTGCACTGTTGCATGGAACACCCTTTCAGCAATAGTTGTTTTAAGAAGTAAAATCCTGAAAATAAATGCTGTCATCGTTTTGTTAGTAGTTTTTTGAAGCATTCTGGAGCTATGCCATCTACTCTTGTTCTCATAGTGGAGTCTATTTTTCATGAAAACAAAAATCTGGCATGATATCATCACAATATAAGATTTATAAATATATTACACAGGGGAAAAAAAGGTTGTTTTTCATAATTGTCTTAATCTTGCAACATTTTCCCTGTATTTCTAATATTGTTTCTGAACTAGGCTGAACTTCTCTAGAGGATGAATACATTTATCCAACAATGTCACTTTTATTTGGTCTTTGATACTATTTAAATTTTGATACAGAGAAGTTTGGTTAGATTCTGTTTACACAGCTACCAAATACAAAGGAACACTTAACAAACTCTGTATGAATTTAGAATTCCAGATCTTCAAAGCAAATGCTTTGAAGCTGATGTATTTAATAATGTAATTTTGTTTAGTGAATGTTATCATTGACCTCATAACTTCAAATTCTCAAGATGGTACTAGAACAGATGTTGCCTTGTTAATGTTTCAGTTTTCTGGTGAAATCAGTCATCTGCAAGATGGGGAAACTGCACTAAGCAGTTAAATAATTCTTACGTGAAAATCAGTATATTTTAAATTGTGAAGTCAGCATTTAACACTATGTTCTAAGCTCTGTTTTTGTTTTCCTTGTAGTGGCAATAAGGTTGTGGAGGAAGAGGTTGGGAGTGTAGATAACAGAAAAGCAACAGGATTGGGAATCTATTGTGTATTCTGATTAGAAACAGTTCTTCGTGAACGCTGGCTGTAGGGAAGCCTTTCTTCTTTGTTCTGATACTGTGAGAGCAGTTTGCATGTATGTGACACGCAGCTGCTCCTGCTTTCTCTCATCAGCTGAAAACATGAAAACCTGCTTTGGTCTCTTAGACTTGGCAATGGACGCTCGGTTCTGCAATGGAAAATAGTGTGGTAAGTGGGGAGCTTAGGGAGGTGAAAGTGGAATAGACATAAAAAGGCAGGTTGTAGGCAAAAAGTGGGAAAATACAACTTCCATAATTTCTAAAATGGTCACCAATCTCTCATTCTAGCACTGAAAAATGCTAATGTTTGGTTAGACATATTGTACTTTTAAGTAATTCTGCAAACTTCAGAATTTGTTTCAATTTCCTGCATTGGAATTCTACAGCTTTGAAACCGCATCTTTATAATGTTGTGGGTTTTTTTTGATGGAACAGGTTGGCTAAAGAGGCATAGAAAATTGGCCTGGAAAACCTCTCACTGATTAAAATGAAAAGCAAACATAGCATTTTCAGTTATGATCATCAAGTTTTGATAAAAAGGTTGAAAAGATTTATATAAAAAGAAGCTGCAGTGTTTTCTAATCAACATGGACACCTTCTGGAGCAACTCCAAGCACAGCTAATAGCCTTCCATGTTAGCATACGTTTCATAGATGCATGTCTTTGTTTTTGTTTTTCTTTTTTTTCCTTCTTTTTCTTACAGGTAAGAGGTGTTAACTTTGAAGCTGTTTTAAGAGTGGAAGAAGATGAAGCCAACTCCAAAAGAAATGCTTCAAAAAGAGAAGTAGAGGATGACTTAGGTCTTAGTATGCTCATTGATTCCCAGAACAATCAGTATATCCTTACCAAGCCCAGGGATTCAACCATTCCTCGTGCTGATCATCACTTCATAAAGGTGATAACTGTAGAGATGCTGTTGTCTTTTTTTTAATAAGACTTACTCCCATTGGTTTGTATGCTGGTAGTGTTTTATTGGGTTGAATACAATTTCACTTTTTTTTTTTCCCCCTACAAAGCTACCCTAGCATTCATTATTTTCCCCACTTCTCCTTGCAATCTGGCCGGTGTGTTCCTAATTTTAGCACAGTATTCATAAGACTGATGATGAACCACATGGATGCTCTCTGTTCATATTTAGCTTAACTTGCTCCTTTGGGGCAGCACAGTGTTGAAGCAAGCTATTAGTTTACCTGACAAGCCACTTGCATATTGTCACAACAGAGAATTTATATCTTCATGTACCGCAGTAAAGGAATGGAAGCTGCAAAATGCATCAGTCTGTTACTGTATTTGTTCTCCATGACAAATAAGTGGATTGAGATTGTTTTTAAAAAACAAAATTGGTCTATTCCACTGTTTTGTTTCAGTGCAAACTGTCAGTCTCTCTAGCAGCCCTAATTAACTAAATACCTCCTATAATGTATTTAAGATATTTTATAAGTTGATCAGAATTCCCCTTATTACTAAAGTGTTGGTAGTTTGGATGCTTCATCTGCAAACAGAAGTGCTTACGCCTACAGTTGTGTTCAGGTAAGTTTACTGAAGTTCTGCTTTGTTTTCTCAGGCAGTATTCTACATGTAATTTTACAGTGCCACTCACCTTTTGAAGGGTAATAGTCTTTAATTTCACCACTAATTTGGGTATCCTTTATACTAACATACTTGTACATTTTACATACTAGGATATTGTGACAATAGGAATGTTGTCTTTGCCATGTGGCTGGCTATGCACAATGATAGGATTGCCAACTATGTTTGGGTACATCATCTGTGGCGTACTGTTAGGACCATCTGGATTAAATAGCATTAAGGTAGGCATGCATGTTGTTTCTTGACTGATTGCATTTACTGAAATCTTTAGCAGTCATTTTAAAAAATGGTATGTCCAACTTCAAATGCATGTGTTCTGAGTAGTGGTCTGCTGTGCATTAACGAATGTTTGACCAACTGGCACAATGGAATAGATGCTAAATGTGTGTATTACACTAATATTCACATAATTGCTTAGAAATTCCTGTCTTCACAACCTCTGCTGTTACATGGGCTCTTACTGAAATTGACTGTTGGGCAAGTAAGATGAGTAAAAAAATTTTTGATTTTTTTTTTTTTTTTTTTTTTTTCCCCTCAATCTCACATTAGGAAAAAAAAAGACTAAAGAAATACAGTTTCAAAATTTCATGTTCTAAAATTGAAAATAAATAATAACTTTTATGGAGTACGTGTCTTTTGGAATGAGAAGGCTGACCACTCAGGTTTAGAAACAGGATTGTATTGTTGACATTAGAAAGATTCAGCAATGGATTTTCAGAGACTGTGAGGAAGTGGGAACTACACTGCTGAGGGAACTTGTGTTGCTATATTACTAGCAAGTGAATTACCTATGAGAAAATATTTGTTTTGTAAGTATACTTACAATTTGCTTTATAATTAGGTTGCTGTGCACTGATATTTATTTTATGTTTTTGAAAGTCTATTGTGCAGGTGGAGACATTAGGAGAATTTGGTGTATTCTTCACTCTCTTTCTAGTTGGTCTGGAATTTTCTCCTGAAAGACTAAGAAAGGTATTTCTTTGTTGTACTTCTATATTACAAGATGTAACTGCTAACGTCTAAGTCACCAGTTCTATTTCAGATTTGCACATGCTTTCTACCATATACAACTCTGTTATTGTACAGTTTTGAAAAGACAAATATGGCATCTTTTCTTTAAGTTTCTGGAAAGAATAGAATGCATTATTTATTCAGTGTCTCCAACAAAATTTGCTGTTCCTTTTCATTTTAGTAAAATAGGTTGATTGCTCAAAAAATCTCAGACAATTTATGGCAATCCATCTCTGCTTTATTTTAACGTGCAGAAACATGCAATTGCTGTTATGAAGTGTCTGGTGATTTTTGCCAGTCCTGTAATTAAAAAAATCTGTTTGTTAAGTACTACATACTGAATTGATGATATGTGCTGTACTGGCTAGTAAGCTGATTCTGCAAGTACATTAGCACAATCATGAGTATTACTTGCAGTGGCCACTGGGATTCAGCAAAAAGGTACAGGTTGTTTTTGATCTTAATTAAAAAAAACAAACTCATAAAATGAGCTAGAATGTTAATATTGGAAAATACTACCACAGAAGATGTGAAGACTGAATGTACTTAAAGAGTTGTGTTTTGTGATCTGTTCCCAAACTGATGGTTGTGAGTTCGTGAGACTATAAAAGCTTTCTTTGAAATGTGTTGAAGTCTGAGTATTCAGATTACTCTCCTATTTTTAGTCCATCTGAAGTCAAAAATGAAAGTCAGCAATTCAGAGGTTCTTCAATAGATACTATGCAAACCGTTACTAGATTACAAGCAACTTCAAAATCATATATGGACTAGTATGAATTGGGCTGCTAGTATTTATGGTGGTTTACACCACTCCCTATGTTGGTTTTTTTTTTTCCCTATAATTACAGTAAATAACAGGTCTTCGATTTGATTTTGATGTAATTTAGCCTATAGTGGATCTTTGACCCTTAATTTATTGGTTTACAAGCTCTGGGAAGTATACTTAATGAGCCTTCATGAGTTAACGAGCCTCTTGACATAGAGTATTATCTCCTAGGTATAATATCTTCAGAGCTTTGGGATGCGTATGATGAGAGCTGGTTATGTCTGTAGCCCAGCACTGCAGCCCCAGATAGTGCAACTTTAACTGCTTATTTGCACTGAAAATCTCTGTAACGTGTCAAACTTCTTAATAAGAACTTGTTTTCTTCCTGAGGTGTGGAAAATATCTTTGCAAGGACCCTGCTACATGACGGTTCTGATGATTGCCTTTGGTTTATTGTGGGGACACTTGCTCCAAATCAGACCAACACAAAGTGTCTTCATTTCCACTTGCTTGTCTTTATCAAGCACACCGTTGGTGTCAAGATTTCTTGCAGGTACTGTTCGAGGAGATAAAGAAGGTAAGTGTGATTTAAATACGGACTGCTTGAGTATGTATAATAAAATTTGACAAAAATGGACTTTGTGATATTATAAGAGAAAGTAGTTTAAAAATGAAACAAAACCTTGTCTGGTTTGCAAGGGATCATCCTCCTTTAACTGGTCAGTGTTATATGTGTTCTTGCTATGAGGTGCACCTGTTACTTATGTAGTCAGTCCTTTCTGGATAAGGAACGGTGTTAAAATCAGTGCAAAATCGGCTTTACTGGGGCTCTGGATGCATGGTGCTTTTTAAGAGGCTACCAGATAAGACCATTGCTACCAGACTGTCAATGGGCAGAAAGGCTAACTGAAGTAATTCACATCCTTTTCCTGCAGGCTAAGACCACCTCTGCTAGTCTTTCAAAGACAGCAGCTCTTCAAATAAGTACTTTCAAGTGCCGTATAGCTGGCTTCTCAAAAGGCTTCTAAATGTTTCATTTCAGCAGTTTTGCCAGCCTGTTTTCTTCCCCTTAAACCTCTCTTATCCATAGGTGCTGTAAGGTGTTTTTGTTTTCCTTCTCCCCAGAATACTCCTATTCCACTGCCAAAAGTTTATTTTCTATATGCTGACTCTTGTTAAATTAGATCTGCCTGTTACTCTGCAGACTGTAAGCTTCTGTAAAGAAGTTCCAGTAAATGCATAACTAGAGCTTAACTGCAAAACAAAGTCAAGCTTTGTATGATACTTTGACCTCACTTCATTGAGAGCTATACATAGCCTTCATTTGATTAAGATGCTGTTTTTTCGGCAAGCATTAATAGACTCTGATAAATGTTTCCGTGACTGCTTTGTTTGGTGTGCAGGGGATATTGACTACAGCAGTGTACTACTTGGCATGTTGGTGATGCAGGATGTGCAGCTCGGCTTATTTATAGCTGTTATGCCTACACTTATTCAAGCAGGGGTGAGCACACATTCCAGGTAAAAAAAAATATATATATATATATGTATCTTCTTTCCCCCCTGGCCTTTACAGTTTAGTATATAGGTTGCAAATACAAATATGACAGCGTTACCTTTAATGTCAGTCCACTAAAAAATAGGAGTTTGTTTTCTGCGTTCCCTTCACTGTTTGTACTTGCCATATTGCCATGTTGTATGAGGATATTCTTTCTGCTATAGCTACCTTAGTCCAGTCTAACTTGTAACCTGAAATTTGTGGTGAAAAGTTTGTTACTTTGTTGCTAATTTCTTAGTTTATTACTGATTTCTTTAGACCTTACTCTCTAAAGGCATTTTTGATAAAGGCTGTGGGATAGAATTATTGATTATTGTTTACTATGAAGAGCTGTCAGCAGAAGTCTTTTTGAATTAACATGAAAGTAAACTTCTGTAAAAGAGATTGACACGCTTAGCAGATGTAGTATTTGTGTTGTCTTGCTAACGTTTGAAATATCTTACTGTAGGTACCGAATTTCAGACATCTGTGGAATGAGATCTTTTCAGTCAAGGAAAACTGGTTTAGAGGCAAGAGAGCAGTTGAAAGAAATGTTCTGTTTGTTCTTCTCTTCCAGCATTTTCAAGGAAATACTGAGAATACTGATACTGATTGGCCAAATTCTCTTTTCTCTGGCTGCTGTTTTTCTTATATGTCTTGTTATAAAGACTTATCTCATAGGACCGTATTATCGCAAGTTGCATGCGGAAAGCAAAGGGAATAAGGAAATCCTCATTCTAGGAATATCTGCATTCATCTTCCTAATGTTAACGGTAATCTTTTAAATTAATAAAACATTTTGATACGTGTGCTAGAGTTTACTACGTCAGTGCCATAAAAGCCATCACACTTGCTGGTATTGCATATCCACGTAACTCTGCAGTTTAATTTTTGGCTTTAAAATGTTTTAAAACAGAAAAGCACAGATGATTCATTTGTCACAGCACAGGTAAGTATTAACTGATACAACTTGATAGATTGAACTTCTGGTAACTTCTCTTAGAGATACTATAAGGAATGTGATTACAATTTTAATTTTGAGGTATTTTGTGCATTTGAAAATAATTTAGGATGGGTTTTGGGGATACTGATAATGGCACATGGTGACACTTAATAGCTCATTTACAATGGCAAATTCTTGATATAGATTTTATTATAAAATAGCTTCTTTTTTTTTTTTTTCTTTTTTTTTCTGTGGGAAATAGTTGGAGATGAAGTTGAGAAAGCATGGAAATGCCCAAAGGTTCAGATATTTTACCAAATCTACAGTGTACAGGATTCTTATGCATGAAGTGAGAAGACAGAATAGAACTTCAGAAGTCATAATTCTCCAGGAGATAGATCACGTTAATTGATTTTGAGATCTCTTACGGGTTTGGTTTATTTGGATCTGTCATCCCCTGGCTTCTATCTCATGTTTCAGCCCCCCAGCAGACTCTTCTGTTGGCGAACAGACTGTGACAGCCAACGATATTAACTGTGGGTTTGAAATTCCTTTATCCTGCTTGTGCAGATTTTTATGTCTGCCTTGAGAATTTCTGAGAAAAATTATCTAAGATGCTGCAGTGTTTGGGAGCCTTTTTTGCTATCTGTGTTTGCTCAGTTATTACAGGGCCAATAGAGAAAGAAGTTAGTGAGAGCATACCTTCACAATTTATTGATTTTTGTTATGTGTGTTAAAAGCAGCATCCCCCTAAACAGCTATTCGTATTCCAAACACAAGTGCTGTTTAATAAAAAACAAAACTATTCCCTCCTTTTTGCTTTCTATCAGGCAGACATAACATTTGTAGAACAGCTTTAATAAAAACAAAATCCAATGTAAGTCACATTAAATACTGCGGTACCTGGAAGAACTTCAACTGCTTTGATGAAAAAAATGGTCTGCATAGATTGATCTGATTGAATCGGATATATTATGCCCAAACTGACATCAAATACAGAGGGAATTGGTGTATGTGACTTGATGTAAGCTGTGTATACAAACCTGAGGGGGAATAGGTTTGAGAATATTGGATGTGTATCACAGAAATGGAGTGCTTCTTCAGCATGAGAAGTGTTTGAAAAGAAACAAATATTTTGTGTGCTTTCAAGCAAAAGCAGCTTTCCCTTAAAGCATGATAAATAATGTATTAAAAGGATCAGTACAAAAGATGCTGAATGTAACCTTGGTAAATCTGTTCAGATGCTTTATGCTCTCTGGTACAGATACACTTAGTACAGTTTGCAGTACAAGCTGTGGTTTAAGCTCGAAGAGCTAAAGGGAAAAAAATGGAAAGAAGAAGAAAACCTCCACCAACAAGGTGGTTGTCCTATTGAAAAATTAATCAAGAAGATCTTCTGGAAAACAAATCTAAATCTAAATTGTTGTAGATGCCCTGTTATTTCAGGAAAAAAAGCATGGGGGCAATCTAATTTGAAAATGTTGCGTGAATTTGGAAAGGATCAACTTCTTGAATGTGAGTGTATTTTGAGTGCCAGGTAAGAACAAATTGAACTCACATAGTGCTTACAATGATCTTTCTCTTTTGAAAAACAAATCTAAACATCCACAGAATTTGTTTAATTATCTGGACACATAGAATTTTGCTTATTTGTGTAGTTATAAAAAAGCTTTTGAAGAACAGAGTAAGAGAATGTATATTTTAGCAGCTTTAACCAAAGAAAACTCTGTGGTTCCATTTAGGAAAAGTTGAGAGATGTTTTCAAGCAAAATGTTTTAGCTCTCTTTCTAACATATGAGATATTCTGCAGGCCACGTCTTTCCCAATGCATGACTGAGGTGGGAATTGCATGATGTTTGTACTTCATGCATGCAAATACTTATGTGCTTCCACATTGAAGGCGATGTCTGGGGTTCACCTAAGTTATCTCATGTTGGGATTCATGTGTAATGCACATTTCATGTATATATAAAAATTTCATTTATTTTACTTATGTCCCATGCTTCAAATTCTCCAGTGACAAATTAAACAAGAATAGTGGTTTCTCTATTATTAAGGGCAACTTCTGTGCGACTGTATGGGGAAAAAAAGGAGGATAGGACAGAGAAGGTTATTACACTGAAATTGCTTACTAACACTGCAGTGCAAGTGTTATCCTGTTGATTGAGGATCTTTCTGCATGGAAATTATTTTTGAACATTCCTTTGTCTAGAGCATTTCTGATCTGCTTGGTTCACTTGGATAACATTGCAACTCAAAATTTGAAACTGGACCTTCAATATGTCTTTACTTTGTAAGCCAACTTAGAGTAGGAGATGCAATACATCTCAAATATGAGCTGTTTTACCAAATCTTGGAGATGTCTCAGATATGTAAGTGAAGTTTCCCCCTTTTTTTTTTCCTCACATTGGAGGGCTCTGAGAATGTCAGGTACCAATCCTATGCAAGTCTTGCTGAATTTTGCTACATGGTTATCCATCTTTAAATCGCATAGCTTATCATCAGTAACAAAAGTTCAGTAGAAAATTATTAAACTTTCAGCTTCTTTTCCAGCTTTGATTTATGCTGGTACTGTGTACTATTTTGAAAGTGAAGCCTGATTCTGGTTTTAAAGCCACAGAGGATAGATGGCCAAAATGGTGCTTTTATGTCAGGACATGAACTGTACTACAGTGACCTGAAGAGCACGCCGTGTGTCAGCCAGGGTGTCGATCAGTTGTGGGTAAAAAGGGGCTTTTAGTTTGACTGCATCATGGTAGATCTATGGTGACGACAGTAAGGAGAGGGGAATTGCCAGCTGTCTTTATATCTCAAAAAGTTGAAAATATAGCTGTGTTATTGCAGTACTTTATGTAAGAAATCGTGCATACTTTTTCCTGCATTCTATTAGGAATGTAATTCCTTGTTTGCTGGAGTACTTCCCAATGGCTCATAACCTGCTTTTGAACTCCTTCTTGTCAAGTAAGGAGAGAAGATTAAGAAAGAACTGTAATCTTATATTCAAATTAATTATTTCATAAAATCATCCGAGATGGAGTTTTAAAAGGCTCACAAAAAAATTATTTCAGTTCTCATTAAGGCTTTGCTTCTTTAAAGTGCAAACTTAGTATTCATCTCTTCATCTTGGACACATTTAAGTTATGAATGTCCCAAATATTAATACATTTCCCTGAGGGGTTTCTGTAGTTTTACTAACTTACCTTATTCATCAGGCTTCTATGATGTTTAAGGAATAAGATAGGGAATATTAGTAGGCAAAACAACTGCTGAACAAATGGCTGAAATTCAACTGGAACATGGCATAGAGTAATGTTTATTTCTTTATTGCTGTGGTAGAATATTTGAACATAAAAATCCTATATTCCCATGAGAGCAAAGCAATCCTCTCTGAGTTAGGAGTAAAATGGGACCTTTGAAAACAAATGAAAGCTAAATTATACAGAGGTAGAAGGATGCAAATTAACAAAAGTTTTTCATTTAATTTTGAGTGGAGAAGCTTCCCGTAATATAGGAGTTGGGAAGAGGATAGAACACGTCTTGGGGATTAGTAATCATTAGAGTGATGTTCAATAAAGCAAAACTTTAAAAACTGGTGCAGACAGAGAGGGATTACTAAATGCAAAATATTTCTCAAGTTTTGCTTATATAAGAAATTTTATCTAAACTGCCACTGCACCAGTAAAACACTCTTCATTGTATGTCTGTATGCATTATTTAAAATAAACCCTGACCCTACAGATTTAGTTGAGGAAAGGTATGTACTTACTGATAATGCTACTGGACAACCGCTTACTAGGGTGGGAATAGAAAAAGTAGTCCTGGTATAAATCTAGCTGTAAATCTGAAGAACAGACTGAAAGAAGTCAGGTGTGGCCACATCCAGCCTGGCCTTGAATGCCTCCAGGGATGGGGCATCCACAACCTCCTTGGGCAACCTGTTCCAGTGCTTCAACACCTTCTGTGTGAAAAACTTCCTCCTAAAATCTAACCTAAACCTCCCCTGTCTCAGTTTAAAACCCTTATTGTATCACTATCCGCCCTTGTAAGCAGCCATTGCCCCTCCTGTTCATATGCTCCCTTCAAGCATTGGAAGGCCACAATGAAGTCTCCCCAGAGCCTTCTCTTCTCCAAGTTGCTTCCCAATTAAAATGTGCCTTGCTTCAATAGTGATTCAATAGTGATTCTTAGAACAGGATAGCATTGTGCAATTCCAGTACAAGGGGTGGTAAATCCCTTAAATGGTAACCTATCCACATGCAAGCAAATACTTAAAATACTAGCTAAAAAGGTTTCAACCAGAATGTGTGTGAGTTTATAGCAGAGAAGTAGAAATAATTCCAAGTTTACTTGAAGAAGCTGTGCTGGATCTACCATATTCACGAAGTTATGACTTTCAAAAATGTTTCACATCTATATATGTGTATTTCTTATTTTAATTGATTTAATGCATTTCTTTCTTCCCCCTTACAATTTCAAGTTGTTGTGAAAAGCGCTGCGCATCTCTGAAACTGTACTGAAAAATTCCTTTTGTTTTAAGACGCAAATGTATCAAAAGTGGCATATTTCACATAGTAGCTGGAATGGATTATTTTATTGCTTTTGAACAGTCAGCAACCATTTGCATTGACAGAAGCAATTTGTTTTCTTAAATACCTTGCAATAAGTTAAAGACTAGTATGCAAGTGGCTTTATGTGATGAGATGCTGAAATACGCAGAAGACTGGATTTTGTTTTCAGTGGCATTTTATGCATTGCTTGTTTATCATTGTCTTTTGTTCTCCTCTGTTAATTTTGAGTCATTTGAGTGTTAGCTTTGTGCCTCTGTGTAACACCGTTTGACATATGATCAATGCTGTCCATAAATGTACCATGGTGTGTCGTTGCTTAAGCTAAATTATTATGGAAATAAGTCTTCAGTTGAAATATTCTATTAATATTAATAGAATTGTCCTTTCTAAGTGAGGTGACTGTCCTTAGCAGTGTGGCTTTAAAGTAATTTATTCCTGTGAAAAGTGCTGCTTGCTTTTTTAGTGTTATAGGCGTTGCCTTAAGCAGTTTCTTTGGTTTTTGGTTCAGTCATTTTGCATGTTTAATCTCTCCCTTGAAGTGCCATATTCAAATAACAAAAAGAAAAGAAAAAACAACAATGAAGAGGAGTCTGAGTTCTTTCAAATAGGTGCTTCATTCCAGCAGCTAACTCCACATGCTTAAATTCTTTGCTATTCAGTAAAACACACAAGCACATCCAGGTCCAATTTACAGTAGTAAAATGTCTATTATGTCTGCTATGTTGAGATTGTTCTCCCAAACTATAAGATTTTACTTTTTTTTCCTCTTTGTTTGACAGTTGGAAATTATGCAGTTCTTTTGGCTTATTTTTACAGCCTCAGTGTATTGTGCAGTGCTGACTCTAAGCTGTTAGTCTCTCTGTAGTCTCTGAAATCAGATGCCATCCACAAGAGTGACATAAAGCCTTGTGATCCAGATTTAAAAAAAAAATTTTTTTTTTTTGTGGGGAAGGAGGTAACACCATGGAGGGAAACTGCTTTTGTGAGACTTTTGGCTAAATACAGTGCTGCAGAAAACAGAAATAAATCAGCAAATTCTATTTGTTGTTGCATTTGCACAGGCATTCACTACATCCAGCACAATGTATAGTTTTGTAATTTTGCAGTGAAATGGTATATATGGTCACTCTGGACGTGAGAACGGTAACAGATTTTTCTGTTGTTCCTTGACAGATCACAGAGCTGCTGGATGTTTCAATGGAGCTGGGATGCTTCTTAGCTGGAGCTCTGATCTCTTCTCAGGGTCACATGGTTACTGAGGAGATTATGACCTGTATTGAACCAATACGTGACTTTCTTGCCATCATTTTCTTTGCATCCATAGGTAATTTCTAACAAAGCTTACTAAAAATAGTGCTGCCCTACAAATGCAGGGGAAGAAAAAGAGAATTGATGTCTACAAACTCGGGGGAGGGGTGGATTTTATTTCTATGCACACTGAAGCATTAAAAGATGACATGATTGGTTTGATTTTGCTTATATTTTAAATGCAGTATCAGTTTTCATAAGGAATTCCCATGTTGTACTGTCAGTTTTTGTCTTAATGTAACTTTCTCACTGTTAATTCTGAATTTGTTTGAACTATTTAAAAAGCTTACTAAAATTTTAAGGGAAAAATAAGTTAATTTTTTTTTGTTGTTGTTTATTTGTTTGTTTTTGAAACTATTCTTCTGTCTTGATATTGGATATAGTTGTAATTTATACCAAAATTTTATTACCATTTTGAGTCAGTGAGAGTAGGTTTCAGGTCCTTATAGCTTGCTTTTCTCTATAAAAAGAATATGGCAATGGAAGCAGATCCTTTTTCCAGCATTTTGTTTCTTTAGTTAGGAAAATGTAATCTGCATATTCTCAGCACAGGAAGATTGGGTAAGACTACCTGCTGACTGAAATGCAATAGTGATGCCTAAGACCAGAGAAGTAATTCATCATGCTTGTTATCCAGAACATGTTAATTCTGAGAATATTTATATAATCAACTGATATCTTCATTTTAAACTGCTAGATTCTCTGTGCATTAGCATGCCTTGTTTGACAGAAACTGAAACACATTTCTAAAGTGCTTCAGTATACTGAATGAGGAGACATGCTGAGTGAAAGTGCTTGCTTCTCCCTCTGGACCGTATAGGAGATGTGTATCCTATCTGGGGAGCTTTGCAATGTCTAGAATAAGGGCTGTCTCAAATCCAGTCTCCTTTAAACTAGACTCACTCATAAATTTTTGTATTTTTTTCTTCTTTTTGGTCTTTCTGTCTTTTTATTTCCATGTCTATTCAAATGGTAGTGAAGCCCAGTATTCATCAGAATTTGTATCCTTACCTCATACATGTACCTGTTGTATGCCTGCGGTACCATAACAGAAACCAAAAGTGTTTCTTGGCAGTTCTCAAGATAAAAATAAAGGGAAGAAGTTATGCTCACCAGCCTCAATCCGTTTTGCCCAGCCCATGATAATTTGTGCTGATCAGTCAGATAAGAACATTATTTGAAGAACTCATTCACCATTTCATTTAAAAAAATTATGGCAAATCTTTTGGGGCTGTGCAATAGGCAGTCCCTACAATGTAACCTACAATTGGTTAGATGAGTAACTGCTAAATGTTCACAGATAAGTCATTTATGTCTTTTAGTAAAGAAAGTGATGAGGCTAAATGTGTGACCAGAGTTAAAAGCATGGCATGTAATCATAAGCCAGAAGTCAATTTTGCAAGAGTTTGAACAGAAGTGCTGTCCTTTGTAAATTACGAGTACCAATAAGACTGATACATGGGACAAGAAGATAGCAGCACTGATTTGAGAGAAGACTGAAATTACTTTTGAAATTACGGTACAGAATTCAACAAGTATCTTTGACTGCTGTTAACAGAATTGTAAGAAGGGAGAGAAAATTGCCTGACAACTTGTGTGGTTTTACAGAAAATGGGTGCTAACGCCACCTCACAAGCAGGTTAGCTAAAAATCAGAAAGATGATCTATGTATGTGCATCTGACAGAATGTGCTGCTTGCTTGTGCAAAAACAAACAAAAACCTTCTCCATAAAACAAAGCATCTCCCTCCAAACTTTTTGTCTCCTCCCATTATTATTTTCAGTTGCTTTCAAAGTGTGTGGTTAACAGTGCGTGGAAGCTCTGTCAGTGGCAAGGAAGTTGTTTTTAAAAAGGAGCGATGTTGCAAAGAAAGCTGAGTTGTATGAAGTGGCATTTTTTAAGGACTATAGGGAAATACTCTACTTTGTCATCTACAAACTTACTGAGGGTGCACTCAGTCCCCTCATCAGGTCATTGATAAAGATGTTGAATAGAAGCGGCCCCAGTACAGAGCCCTGGGGAACGCCACTTGTGACCGGCCGCCAACCGAATTTAACTCCATTGGCCACAACTCTTTGGGCCTGGCCATCCAGCAGTGTTTCACCGAGCAAGGTGCTTGCCCATCCAAACTGTGGGTAGCCAGCTTCTCCGTGAGGATGCTGTGGGGGACAGCGTCAAAGGCTTTAAAAGGCTTTTAAAGTCTTGATAGATACAGCATCCAAATGCATCACTGAAGTTATTTTTCTGATTGATTGTCCTATCTTGAGGATGTGTCAGAGTTAATCCTATGTCAGAATCTGTGTCAGAATGAACCTGGCTGAGGTTCAACTACCAGAGTTCTGTTTTCTGTTATCTTGTCTGCTGTCAAGAATCTCTAAGATTCCCCTTGTTGATGCTGGGTTTTCCAGCACATGCAGATGACTTCATGTGCTGTGATGCAACAGGCAGGTAGAATCCGTTTAAAGTATTTTTATTTTTTTCCTGAAGAAAAAAAGGTACTTGAAAAAAGGTGAAAAGTCTTCCTTGCAGTCATCCTTACATGAAAATATACCAACTTATATGAATGAACTGTGCCATTTGGCTTGACTTCCAGTGCAAGGCCACCATCTACACAACATTGCTTAGAGCTGAAGGCCCATGGACTGTGTTCAGCTATGAAAACCTACCTAATTGGTACACTAGCTATGAGTGACAGGCCAACACTACCAGGTGATGGTGCTAAAGTTTTTGAGTTCTTGATTGAAGTGCTTATTCCATCTTAGAGAACAAGTCCTTACTGAATCCTGAGCCTAGTCACAAAGTCTAAGTAAACCTGCTGAAATTAGCGCATCTCCTATCTGTGAAGTTAATCTCTGATGGCCTTCATATTGTCAGGAAGGCTTGATGTGCCTGTATAGCAGCCTGATTTTACTTATGGCTTTATCCTAAGTTTTTGCATAGGACAAAGATCTGTAGTAATTATGAAATTACTGTGGTGGGCTTTATTTTTCCCAAAATGTGCGTGCATGCAGGGCTGTATGCTTGTTTTCTCAGAATTGTGTACGTAACAGGCTTAGGCTTGCTTTAGCTTAGAGACATTATCACCTATAGGTGCTTACCTCCACAGGATTAGTGTAGAAATCTGTGGTAGTTTGTACTTCAGCTCTGTTGAATAAGGTAATAATCTCCATGTTGGGAGGCAGTCCAAATGAACTTCAGGCTGCCTGTCTGCTTCAGAACTGAGAAAGTTGATCCACCAGTAGTGATGAGAGCCCTAGGCTATACTTACAGCCTCCTTTGAAATCTTCAGTTCCAGATATGCTGGTTGGCCCTCTTGTCAAACAAGACATTGTTACAGGCTGTGTTTCTCTGGCCGCTTTTCATGTATATCATCTCTGAGACCAGCCTAAAGGTGAACAAGCAACATGCATGTGATAAACACCAGAGAGACAGAAGCTACTTGCCCCTCCATGTGTATGCACACGTCTAGATTTCTTTTTTGATACAGTGTTCATCTCTTTTGTTTTGCCATCTCTTTCCTTATTCTGATAATCCTTTGTATTTGTGCATCTCTGGTTAGACAGAAATTAAGAAATAAAGTAGAGTGTGTGTGTGCTAAGTAGTACTTGTATAAAAATCTCTGGTGCAATACGCATATAGACAAGATATCTTGAAGTTGCTATAAGTACATTCTCTTCTGCATTTAGGAAGAGAAGAAGACAAATCTTAGTTCTATATGTTTCTTTTGGCTCTGCGATCTATAAAGCAGGGGAAATTAGTGAAAATTTATCCTGCATTCCAATAAGAAGTTACCACGTTGATTTACAGATCTCTTAGCCTTCAGCAGAAACAATATGGTTGAAGAATCAGCAGCTACTAGGAATTTATCAAGGACACCACCACTATTTTAGTTTTCTTTTTAAGAGCTTTTGTGAAAAAGGAATGAGCTTCCAAAGTTGTTTACCTGTATAAGTTGCTCATATCATAGCTGATGGACTTAGCTTTAAGATTCTTCTGCAGTGATTTCAGGGATTCTAGGACTTCTCCAGCAAGTATTTAATTTCCTGGGATGTTTAATACTACTCAGGTGTAGTTTTGCGCTTTTGTGCTCTTCACAATTCTTATTATCTTGCTTCTTCCTTTTCTGATTCTAGAGTAAAATTTCACCTTTTACTGATTCTACAGATAAGCTTAATGAAAAAGCACATGGGTGCTTATCGGGAATAATATTTGTGTCTGAGTTTGAGACATAAGGTTCTGCCACCTTTCTTCTATATTCCTTTTCCAATAAAACCAGCAACAACAAAATTCCTAGACCATAGCAATGTAGCTTTATGCAGTTCTTTTACTTGTAGGCCATACTCAGAGGTTAATGACTTTCCCTGATTCCATTCAAAGTGATTTTTCTTGTTCAGGTGATTTTCAGGGATTGTGAATGAGGGTCATGGGATGAAAGCAATTTTCTGTTGTAGTTGTAATGTATATAAAACCTGAAAATGACATTATTTCCCAAGTAGTAGTCCACTACGGCTTCATACAAAAATGCTAAATGGCTAGCAAAGTCTATATTGCAAACACTGCAGAACAATGGCATTATTTTCCTGTGGTATTTTTATAGCTTTCATGAAAGAGATGTGTTTCATTCAGGTTCTGGATTGTTTACTGGTGCAGAAGAGAGAAAACATTATAAATGAAAGTGCTTGTGCATCAATCATACACAATTTAACTTGATTTTGAATGTTGTTTGGGATGAACCCTTCCAAAGATTTGGCAAGGAGTGTTTCAGTGATGGAGTAGGTAGTGTTGGTAGGTATCCTAGGGATTTTGTTTATTTTTGAAAATATAGTCTTGCAATTAAATCTGTTAACTCTAAAAATGATAATAATGACATATCAGCATTAAGCTTTGAAATATTTGTCTCCAGGGATTCCTAGAATAACAAATTGGGTATTATTATATTCAGTGAGATCAGAGCTTCCTCATCATAGTTTTATTCTGAAAGTTAAAAATTTATCAAAGCAATAGTTACAAAAATCTGGAAAAAAGTCAAATGCTGTTTGCAAATACCATTGCAAATGCTTCTTGTGAAACATTAGCAGTGTTCAGCAACAAACTGTGTGTGCTTTAAATAAGATAGAAATGAAATATACCAGTGTAGCAGATACCTTTAAAGGGGAAATAAAAAATGAAAATCCTCTACTAAATGCAATACAACTCCATAGTATATCTATCTGCAAATAGTGTAGAATAAAAATATATTGTTTTGGCATTTGGAAACACTGCATACTTTTCTGTTTACTTGTCCGTTCCAACAAACATAAGACTTTGCTATTTAAGACTTGGCTTAGATGTGAGTCTGAATGCTTGGCAAAAGTTGTTGATGTTAAAAGAAGTACTGGGATAATAGCACTTTTTTTTTTCTTCCTCCTAGGACTTCATGTTTTCCCCACGTTTGTAATATACGAACTCACAGTGTTACTCTTCCTTACGTTGTCTGTGGTCATAATGAAGGTATTTCTTTCTTTTTTTAATCTTTAGATAGTCTGAATAGCACTGCACGTCACTATGAAAATTGCACAGAAACTGCACATCTACTATAGCAATGAATATTACATCTTGACTGCAGTTGGAGAAATCTAACTGATAGAATACAGTTTGATGTAACATTCTTTGTGTGTGTGTATTCTTAAAGAAAAGATCTTTCTTAATGTAAAAGCCTGTTACACATGGAGAAATGCCTATTTGTCTAACTTAGGATTCATGAAAAGTTATCAAATTATCAAATGTTTTATTATAGTAAATAAGATGGTACTTTTTACTCTGCTGTCTACCTTTTGCCTCTTTTGACATTAATACAGATAACATAATTAAAAGTCCACTCCAGTCCAGTGTTGCACTTGATGCAATGTATCTTCTATTGATTGTTCTATTTTATCTATTATACTTCCTTTATTTAAAAAGTAATCAAGAAAACAATAACAACACAGCAACAACTCAAAAAAAAAACAAAAAAATGTTCAATGTTCTCAAAGTTTGTCTTGGCAGTGCTGGTCCTTTCTCTGATTCTTCCAAAGACCAGCCAGTATATCAAATGGATTGTCTCAGCAGGACTGGCACAAGTCAGTGAATTCTCTTTTGTTCTGGGAAGCAGAGCACGCAGAGCAGGGATCATATCTCGGGAGGTAAGCTATTTTATAGTTATTAACTTTGCATTTTGCATCTCAGTATCTTACTGGGATTTTATTTTACAGTGTATTTGAAATACACACATACTTGGTGGCATCTCTAAATTGTTAGCAAATAATCAGCCCATACAAATGGAAACGTGTGTCCTTGACAAGATTCGTAGTTTGATTTTTCACTCATTAAACTTCTTGGACTTAAAATATTAAAGCTGCAAGCATAAATTTAAAATGACATTGTTACAAATGCTTTTTCTTAACTGTTCCTCCTTAGAGCTTCCTTATTAACTGAGCAGTGAATTGTAGCTACTACCCAAGTCACTAAGGCTTAGAAGCCTGTGCTTTTGAAATCTTGATACAGCTATAGGAAGAGGTAACTGAGAGTATAGGAATTGAGGAAGGAAACATCAATAAATTAGAGAGCAGGTATGGTGAAGTGGAAGTTGACTTAATATTTAAACAAACAAAGGAGGAAACAAACTTGTAGTGACCACCTGTGAAATTTGTTAATTTTAAATCCTCTGCAGAAGAAATAAGCTTTTAAAGCAGTTCTCAAAAAAATTTCTTATGAAGGAAAACTTTAACTTACTTTTATATTCAAGTTACAAGAATACTGTTGTCTCCAGAGGAAATCTGCTTTGCAAACTTCAGTAAACTATAGCTACAGAGATGTAACAACTGACCCTGCTTTCTAAAGCTATGTGTGTTCTCCTCTGTCTCTGCTCACAAAAATACTCCGCTGCCTGGCTCTCTGAGCTTTCCATTGTGTGAGCAGTAGGCTGTATAATGCTGGAACCAATTCCAAATTAAGCAAGTGTGAAAAATTTACACAATGCTGTTCACTTGTGTATGTTAAGGTGATTCATTTTCATGTTTACTCCTGCATATAATCAGGAGTTATATATACTGTATGTTTGTATAGAGTTTCAAGAGACCCATACGTGATTACAGAATCAATCTAGGGGGGCCCACCCAGTTTGTTTGGAGGGAGGCCTTTAGGCTTTCATTTTTCATGCCGTTATCTACTGCATAAGTTTATGTAGCTCTGAAATTGCTTCAAGTCACTCTTCTGTTTTCTTCCCACTGCCATTTTGTAAGACTCTTTCAGAATATGTAACCAAGACCTCGTTTCAGAAGATGTGTGGTATGACTTAGAGGAATTTTTGTTGTTTTTTTTAGTCTTTAAAATAATAATGCATTTTGCAGTTACATATGCAAACCTGAATTAATCTTGTTTTTTCATAAAGTGGTGTTTAGCCTTTGACTTGTTGGCTCTGCTTTCAAAATTGACCTCTTAACTGCAGATCTAAATAATTATTTTAATGTAAGTTCATTGTGTTGTTTTTGTAACTGTATGTTCAAACCGGGTGAACAGCTGTTTTGTGCTTGCACTTGTATGTTTTTATAACAGTGTGCATAGGTGGATGAGGAGACAGGTGAAGTTTCCTGAAAATACTGTTGAGAAATGTCCGATCTCATCAAACTTCCAATAGTTCCTTAGTTTGCCTTGTAACTGTGGAGAGCTTTTATTTCCAATTTCCAGGTCTATCTTCTTATTCTGAGTGTGACTACTCTAAGCCTTTTACTTGCCCCTGCCCTGTGGAGAGCTGCAATTATGAAATGTGTTCCAAGGCCTGAAAGACGCTCAAGTACTTGATAAGACTTGCACATGAACAAGAACACATCTTCTTGCAAAGATATCTTCATTGCTCATTGTATTTCTATGCACTTGGAAAAGGAGAGGTTTTCAGTAGTCCTCTTAACATGCACTTGGTAATAAGCCTTACACTGACCTTAAAACAAAATTCAACACTAAAGAATTGTTTGATTTTAATTGCACGCCTCTTACAAAACTGGCTTTCTCTGACAGATTAGGATCTGCCAGACTATTTTTTTTATCTGATCAATTATGCAGTCTAAATTGTTTTTTTAACTGTAGCATCATGCAAATTTGGTTGATTATTTTTTTTTTTTGCCTGAATGTGCCTTTTAATTCTCATCCTCCTTTCATTACTGTTAGTTCACCACCAGATTTTGTTTAAAAAAAAAAAGAAAAAAAGTGTACTATGGTGCCTATGGTATCTCCTTCCATTATATGACTTGAGTCATTTTCGCATTTAGGAATGAGTTCATTAGAGCAGTGTAAATTCAATCACAAAACAAATCTGTAATGGTGAGTAAAAGTCTTAGTCCTTTCTACAAAGTTTAACTGTTAGTATCAAACTGTTTGAAGCAGTCAAATACCTATTCCAAACGATGCAGCCAACATTGTGTGCTACTTTGTTCCAAATTACAGCATATAATGTGTTTTCTTTCAGTGGTAACTTCTGTTTGTGTTAGTTCTTGCATTTATTTACATACTTGATTATAAGTTGATGGTGAAAAAGGGCATAACTTAAGTTATATTTGAAGACTGACAGTTGTCATGCATTCCTGTTCCTAGCTACTGTTACAGTAATTGTTTACAGTTTTGTTTGTTTGTTTTAAATCCAAAATAAACTTAGTAGATATGGATAGTCTAATTTCAAGCAGATGTTTAAAAAAAAAAATCACTGCAGAGGTTGGATGTTATTTATAATATTCTGCATTTGAAATTATTTTGAGTAAATTAATTTGCACAAAACTAGAAAGGGCAGCTTGAATATGTATTTGGAACTCCACAACTTTATACTTTGCATTTATATTGAATAAATTGTTAGTCTTTTAAAATATCATGATATTTAAAGAAAGATTGAATGTGATCTTAGATGTAAGTGCTTTGTTCTTTAAAACATTATAGATAAACAGGATGCATCTTGTAAAAGCCTATTCCAGAAGAATCATAGAGAAGATTTAATTCATAGACTGTAGTCTACTCTGACAATTTAAAAATCATCCTGAGGTTTATCTGTTTAAAACAATGCTATTAAAATATATTAACACTTCAGGTCAGTATTATACTGTCATTTGAAACAACTTTGATACCCACCAAACAGCTAGAAAAATGTATGTTATGTAGGTTTAAATCGCAAATTAAAATGGAAGGCTGCCTTCCTTCTGTTTTATCAGCTGCACTGCTCAGCTTGGTGTCATTCGGAAACATAGAGAGCATGCACTCAATCTCACTGTATGTCACTGATAAAAAGGTTGAAAAGCACCATTTCCACAATGGACCCCTGCAGACAGCACTCATCACTGGCCTCCAACTGGACACAGAGCCATTTACAACAACCTTGTGGCTACAACTATCCAACCAATTCATTATTGACTGAATAGTCCACCATTCAAATCCATACTTCTCTAGTTTAGAGATAAGGATGTGATGTGAGACCGCATCAAAGGCCTTGCACAAGACTAGGTAGACGACTTCAGCTGCCCGTCCTTTGTCCACTGATGTTGTCCCTCCTCCACAGAAGGCCACCAGACTGATGGGGTACGATCTGCTCTCAGTGAAGCCGCACTGACTCTCAAATTGCCTCCTCATTTCCTTAACCTCTCTTCCAGGAGGATCTGCTCCATGATCTTCCCAGGCACAGAGATGAGGCTCACCAGCCTGTAGTTCCCCAGTTCTTCCTTTCTCCCTTTCATAAATATGAGAGTGATGTTTTTCTTTATCCGCTCATTGGGAATTTGCCTGACAGCCATGGCTCCTCAAATATGATGGAGTGGCTTGGTGACCGCATCAACCTGTTGTTTCAGGACCCTGGGATGCATGCTATTCAGGCCCTGCAGACTTGCATATATTCAGTCTCATGAGGTGGTCTGAGACTTGGTCTTCTAAAAGAGATTCTTCTAAAGTTTTACAGTATAGTTTAACATCTACCAAATTAAACTTTTAAACTTTATTTCTTAACTAGGAAAAGAAAGCTTAGTCTGTCTACTGTTCTAGTCTATAGTTTTTTCTTGAAATACAAACTTCTCAATGCCTTGGTTTGGAAAGATGCTCTTGCATACTCTATGGAAAAGAAAGGGAGGAAGGGAGAGAAGAAGGAAGGCCATGATAGACCATGGGAGAGGCCTCTATCTGGGTTCCAGCATTTCTTTCAGCCGGTGGGACCTTGAAACTATTATACAAAGTATTACATCTGTGGTAAGTAAACCTTTTGTATAAATAAACTGCTATGATTAGTTGTATTTCTCTGGAAAATTCCTGATAGGAGAGTAGGGATATTGATGGCTTACATCTCTTAAGAGAAAAAATGTTTATTTTTTTCATGATTACCTTTTAAAAGATTTGAGTGAAAAGTCCTTTTGGTACCATTGTCCAAACAGCAGGTATGACCTGCTGGACACCAGGTGACCTTAGGACACCAGGTGACCTAAGGGCTGTCTCATCCCTTTTATTTCTTTCCTAAATAAGTTCTGATTTGGTCATGATTGAGGAAAGAAGTAGTAATATCCGTATTCTGTGTCTCTGTGTTGATGCAGCCTGGGATTACCTGATTGGATACCAGATGCAAATACAAATTACCAATTAGACACATAAGTTTGTTTACAATTACATGGTTGAGACTCTCCCACAGAAAGCTGGAGGTATATTTAGATATTGTCAGTATTTCCTACAATGCAAGGAATGGCTTCATCCACAATTCCATGTCAAAACTGGGTGGTCTCATGATAAAATCTTAGGATAGAAACAATAGGTCTTATTCTTGAATGATCTGTTAGGGGAGAAAATATTTCACAGTTGGATCACTTAGAAATTAATAACCACAGCTCTTCAGGAATAATTTACAAGCTGGTGGTGTGGCCTATGGTTATACTTTGTGATTCATTTCCCTGTTCCCAGGGCCAGATTGGTATATCTTGCCCCACAACCACTCTTACGTACAGCTCATCCCATATGAAGTCTGTGCTTCAGTTTCTCATTTGGAAGTTATCTATGGGACCTGCAAGGTAACTACTTGCAGCCCTAGCATAGAAAGCTCAAGGAATGCTGCTGTGGGAACCTAAACAGAACTTCCTGAGAGCTTTAAGAGTTCCTATTTCCATCTTCAAAGATGAGGAGAAAGCAGCCTCACAGTACTTCTTATCTGGTTTTACAGTTGGATATCCTTTGCTTTGTGGGCAGAGGGGCACATGGGAGTGCCTCGCATGAGAGAACAGTGCTATAGGATGGTGCCTGATGGAGAATGTGAGAAACCTTGTGTGGTCTCGCTGCCTGCTGGAATGAACCCAAAACAGTTAACCACAAAAGCACTCCTGGGTTTTGTCTAGGGAAGGAATGTATTTCTGCTCTGTAAGCAATCCTGGCAGTGCTCCAGCACATGGGCAACATGGAGTGTGGAGGAAACTGGACCTCTAAATGACAAGGGTAAGCTGTACTAGCAGTGTTAGTAGCTTGGCTGGATATGGCAATAGCTTATTAACAGCAGCAAGTACCAGTCAAACTACCATAAGCTGATCTGACAGTGAAGGGAGGCAGTGATGCCAGTGAAGAGAGAAGGAAATGCAGCAAGATGCTCTAAGAGCTGGGAACTGTGTGGCCCACCCTGCCCTGAAGGAAACAGGCGGAAGATAAAGATACGGGTCTACCAGCTTCATGGAGCAGGAAGCTTGTTTCTTTGGATCTCTCACAGACTTCATTGAGTAATTACCACTGCCAGTGGGGAGAGGCTTCTTGACAGTAGGGACAGCGAGACAGCGAGGAACACCAAGAGAGACTAAGGAATCCCAATTTCTGCAAATAAAAGACAAACTGGACAATCACATGACCAGAGGGCCTAGGGACAGCTGATCCTGCCTTGGGGAATAAAACCTAGATCAGATCAATGGCAAAACTCTTAAGGTTACAGAGCCAAGCTGTATTTTTATTTCCTAAAATAGAGCAGAAATTTGAGAATTGGGAGATAGTACCTCCCAAGGAGGCCAAATGCTGACAAGCTTATCAGCTGGTACGAGGTCTGTATTTAAGGAGCTCTCACAGGTCCCTCTCTTAAGACGGCTCACCTTCAATTTCCAAAAATCAAAATGTGTCCCTGTACACATTCTCTGGCACATTGCAGGTTTCTGATTGCAAGTTAGTTAAAACATGTTTTCCTCCTCTCTGCGTCTGCTGTGGAGTCACAGCAAATTGATGCTTGGAGTTGTGATCTGTTCTCATTCTGAAGCGTGCTGAAGATGGAGAAGGAGGCCACAGACATACAGTAATGCACAGCAGCCTTCCACGGATACAAACAAGTCTTACATCTCCAAAACACCTGATGGAGAAGATGAAGAGAGAGCAGAGAGCTGAAGTTCTTCCTGCTGGTGCAACAGCAAAATTACATGACAAATGTAAATAGAAGAACTAGAGTAATTAAAAAGGTGGTCTTCAATCACTTTCTGTACTGACTGTGGTCTAGAAAGTATCGATTCTTGTTTGCAGTGAAGCTATGTGGTTTGCAGAAGCAGTGGTACGAGGTTCATATTCTGTCCTTTGTTACTGCTCCTTAGCTCTAAAAAGCTAGTATAGTTTTCTTAATTCCTATAAATCACAACTGGTAATGAATTATTTTCTCACCTTTATGAGAAGATTCTGTCTATCTTCCTCTGTACTTGAGAAGCTACAAGTTTTCAGCCTAAGAATTTTCACAGAATCACAGCATGGTTTGGGTTGGAAGAGAGCTCAAAGCCCACCCAGCCCCAACCACTGCTGTGAGCAGGGCTGCCGCCCACCAGCTCAGGCTGCCCAGGGCCCCATCCAACCTGGCTTTGAGCACCTCCAGGGATGGGGCACCACAGCTGGTCTGTGAGGTATAACTTAAAGCATGAGAGGAACTGTCTGGTTGCTCAGTGTAGTTGTTAAATTCCAATTTTCTAAAAGCAATTATTTGCTTTTTTTGTAGTCCCTTCTTTGCCCTGGGACAGACATGCCTTATTGTCTGTTGAGGATGCAATCCTGGAAATTGCAGGTCATTAGGATACTGGAGCAAATTTTTCTTGGAAAAATTAATGTAAATGGGGTGCTGGGGTTGTAGACAGGGACTCGAGTTTTACAAATAGTTTAAATATGCATAGTATCTATCTATATAGCATCTGTTTTAAGGTGCTCAATGTTTATTTAGTGTGGGTTGGTCTCTTCTCACTGGTGACAGGACGAAGGGAAATGGCTTCAAGTTGTGCCAAGGTAAGTTCAGGTTGGATATTAGGAAAACTTTCTTTGCAGAAAGTTGTTAAGCACTGGAATTGGCTCCCCAGGGAGGTGGTGGAGTCACCATCCCTGGATGTGTTTAAAAACCGTTTGGATGTGGTGCTCAGGGACATGATTTAGCGGAGGGTTGTTAGAGTTAGGGTAGGATGGTTAGCTTGTGGTTGGACTCCATGATCTTTAAGGTCTTTTCCAACCTGAGCAATTCTATGATTCTATGAAGGTTCTCGGTCTCTTCCTGTGAAGTTGCACACACATTGTATGTTCGCTGTTATCTTCTTTCTCAGCTTTCCACCGCCATCATGCCCCTCCAGGAAGGAAGAATGGGGAGATGGGGCCATGGTGGCTGCCAGTGCAAGGCACTGCATGGCCATGGTACCTGCAGCAGTTGAGTGGGACAGACACAGAGTGAGGGGTTACTGTGAAGGAAACGCCTTGAGGAGCGCTGTTATCAATGACTGAGGTTGGAAAAGACCTTTCAGATCATCTGGTCCAGCATCAGCCCATCCCCACCGTGCCCACTGACCACATCCCCTCAGTGGCACATCCACGCGGTTCCTGAACACCTCCCGGGACGGTGACTCCATGGGTGATGTCTTCCCTAGGTGTGACTGGCGCTCAAGCCAGTGGAAGCGCCGGCACGTCGCCGCAGCACCCAACCGCACGTCCCTGCCGCCCCCTGCGCCCCTCAGCTCGCCGCGGGGCGCCTCCCCGCAGCTGGTCGGCCGATGGAGGCGGCGCCGCGGATGCGGGGCAGCGCGGCGCGTTCCCGCCCCCTGGCGGCGCCATCGCGACCACGTGCCCGGCCGAAGAGCAATCTCGCGCCGGTGCTTCCCGCGCGCCCGCCGCCAGAGCCGCAGGGCGGGGAGTCGGAAAGCGCGAAAATCCCGCGCATGCTCCCTCCGCCCACGGAGGGGCGGACGGTTGGCTTAGGCGCTCCGCGTGTGCCCGTGCAAGGCACGCTACACCCCGTGACGTCAGCGCGCAGCGTCACGCCGGTGGGACGCACAAAAGTGTAAGTTTCAATTTTTTTACCCCCCCCC